GACAAAACTTATGTTCAGTAAGTGAGTCAGATTGAATCATTAATCTGTCTGACTGATTCATGAGGGTTTTGTTCACTAAAAATAACCAATTCAAAAGAGTCAGCTGTTCAGGAATCGGGCTACACTGTTCATGCTGCATCTTCTTGAACTAAAAGAGGCAGGTTTGAATCATTCATCAAAAACCTGTTTATCCATTTATTCCAGCTTAATGTGAAAATGTCCCAAAGAGATTTTAATGAGCAAGTTTTGGATATCTGAACCTCACTGCATGTCTTGCACACAGGCTCACAGTCAAACACACACCATAGACGTGCTCCAGAAGAGGTACTGTTGCTTTATTCAGCATGTATTTAGGTGCAAACATACAGCACCATTCAGTTCAGAGACTGTCATGATAAACAGACTCGGTTACTTGTTCATTTCCAAATTACTGATAATTGACTTACACTGTAACTTAGATGACACAACAAAAGCAGATGAAAGCATGATAGTTGTATTTTAACCATGAGTCTAAAAACTCCAGCTCTAAAGCTTTTATTCCCACTCTTGAATTTCAGTCATGCTTTTATCAAGTCAAACACTGTAAATGCTAAAGCAAAATAATCATCATATCCTCATAATTATACTCAACGAACAAACATAAGAGAATCGGAACACAGACACATAGCAAATAAAATATTACTACAACACTTACTAAAATTAACACATTCTAACATAATTAACATAGCTAAAACTTAACTGTTGCACTAACTACATATAATCTAAAGAGCCAGGGATGGTGGGCAGTGTCCTGTTGGCTGATTCTTGGTCTAATGTCGAATGAACAAATTGGCTTTATTCCATTCCTTGCACCCAAAGACAGTTGAGACCGAACTACAATTCACCTCAACAAACAATTGGTTAAAAGTTTGCTTATAATGGATCACTGGTTAATCAGATTCTCAATGGGTGCTGGGAATGAAACAGAAAAAAATTACAATTTAGTGAAAACTATTATTTGCAGAACAATATAGTGTATAGAGTCTTTAAGTTGAACCATCTAAGGTCCTTCATGAGAATCTGCCAACATGACACTGAGCTCTGGCTGAGTGAGTGCTGCCCTTAGCAATGTCTCCAAGGTGGTCATTTGGCCATTTTCAAGTGTAAAGAAGAAGGGGGACCTCATTATGTGTACCTCTTGTGTGACACAAGGGCTCGTCTGACTTTAAAGCGATGATGTGCTGCGGTTTAGTTTCATGGTTAGATGGTGGAATTGGGGTGGAATTAACTAAAGAACTAGGATTGGAAGTAAATGTGAAGGTTATGGATGTGGATTTGGCAAAGAGAGTCTTAAATGGTGGGTCTAGGTTAGTAGGGTTTTTGGAGAAAAAAGTAGATTTATGTGCCTCTCAATTTTTGGGAAGGTGATGTGTTGGTTAGTATTTTAGGATCTTAATGTGGGTCTGACTCAACAGTATTCAAAATATGAATATGATGAATGTGAGTTACTAGGATTTTGTGTTTTAAGGGTTTAGGCAAGGGCTGGTAGGGTGGAATATGTCAATCGAATTTCTTCTCCCTCCAGGAGTTTCCTGTAAAGACAAAAATGAAGTTTAATGCAAAATAATTGTTTTAAGTCAAACTGATTGAAGATACTCCAAATGTCATACTGTCAAGCATATTACCTGTAAGCTGCAATCTCAACATCCAAAGCCATCTTCACGTTAAGCAGATCTTGATACTCCCGCAAATAGCGTGACATTTCCTCTTTCGCATCGGCAATGTCCCTCTCTAGGTCACTTATCCTCTCCTAGAAGTTGTTCAAAGAAAATTTCAAAGCGTAAATTAATGCTGATATGCTTATCTGACAGAAGCGTTCCTACATACTGTTTTGTGCCAGAGATAGAGAGAAGTAGAGCAGAACTTTATTATAAAGGGATATCTTTCCCTCTAGAGTCAGTCTCATCTCTCCTACTCAGTTTGTCAGTCATGACTCAGCACTGATGGAATGAGTCAGCATCAGTAACATTTCTGCAACTTTGGCATCACTTGTCTTGGACCTTACAATGCTAAAAGCACAGCAGAAATAATATTCCATCAATGCTGAGACTGTAGAACAGTAAAGGTCAGCGCACTGACTTGGCATGAAAAACAAATTTACAGTCTGTTCCTAAGCCTTTGTGCTTCCCTTTTGTTATTTCATGGGGAAAATGTGCAAATGTACCTTTAGGGGTAGCTTATCGCCTTACATATTACTACTCTTAAGGTAAATATGCACCTTTTAGGGGTAGATAAGGTACAAAATTGTGCTTTTATAAGTACTGCCCCAGTGGCAAGCTTTTTGGACATTTTATCTGAGTGTATTATGCCCATCAACACAAATAAAGATTGTTCTGGTTATGTTCCATTTCATTAATCTTCTCTTTTATACAGAATGTTTCTGCAGTCAATAGCATAATGACCCAACTTCTAAGAGTGTCTTTACAGAGACATTTGTGTGGTTGTATTATACGTATGCAATTATACTTGGATTGATTGCTGCTGGTGCTCTATACCTGGTACTTGGTGACATCAGTGTTCTGCGTTTCCTCTAGGTCCCCTAGTTGTGCATTCAGTGAATCGATAACATTCCTCAGTGCCTCAACCTCAGCTGAACGGGACTGCAGCAGCCGTCGATACTCAGCGGTCTCCTCACGTACCAAGCACACAGCCTCCTCCTGCTTATCCGACAGCTCCACTACGCTTGCCACCTTCCCCCGGAACCAGGCTTCGGCGGTCTGCATGTTGCGTCCAGCCAGGCTCTCATACTGCGCTCGGATCTCTCTCAGAGCGGCTGACAGGTCTGGTCTACTTGTGTCCAGCTCCACACTGAGGCTGGCAACCTGTAGCTGGACCCTCAGCCCCTCCTGCTCCTCTGCAAACACTTGCTTCAAGAAGGCCAACTCCTGCGCCAGGGAGACTACGCTGGCCTCGGCATCACAGCTGCACAGAGCGGCCTGACCTGCCTCCTCCTGCAACCTCTGCACCTCTGCCTCTGCCCAGCTACGCCGCCGCGCCTCTTCCTCCCAGCGCTCGTGCAGCTGTGTGTGTGCCTCCCGCAATTTCTCCTTCTGTGCCTCCATGCGTGCTTTATTCTGGGCCTCTTGATGCAGCTGCTCCCTGAGGCCCCGTACCTCCTGTAGGTAGAGCTGCTGCACACGGGACGGCTGACTCTGCCTGCGCCGCAGGGCCTCCAGTTGTAGGAGCAGCACCCGATTTTGTTGCTCAAGGTGTCGCACCTTCTCAATGTAGGATGCAAAGCGGTTGTTCAGACCCACCAGCTGCTCTCGTTCTTGGGCCCGCAGCTCTGCGTTCACTATGCTCGCCTGGCTCAGGTCACTCTGCTCCCAGCGCTGCAGCGGCTCCAAATGCATCGGCCACCTGGAGGACGTCAGGGGACCCCGGGAGAGCCGGTAGGTAGTTCTGCTGGAGGGGGAATCTTCCCATCGCCGGGAGAGGGAGGAGAAGATGTATGGGACAAAGCTCATGATGCAAGATTTTTTTAGTAGTTTTTTTGTTTGGTTTTCAAATGATGTGAATGTTTTTTTGGTTGGAGAAGTTTTTCTCTTTAAGTCCCCCTTGTTCTGCACACCATTAGTGGAGATGAACCGGCACTGCACCAGTTCAGAAATGCTGCAGAGCAGTGTGCTTTATACAGGACACACATACACACTCTCCACACACACACAGATCCTCAGCCAATCAACAGCTCAGCAGTGTCATGATGCTGCCGATTGGTTTTGCGTTTCTTTTTTTAGCTAGAGTAGCATATCAGGAGGTAGGGCAGATTGATACATCTTTATTATAGGGACACTTTTCATGTTTCTAGACACATGTTTTAAATGTAATTCAAACGTGAATCTGTGTGTGAAACATATTCTAAAGAAATCTATGCAGTCAGCTTATTACTATGGGAATAAACAATAACAATAAAGTTAACAATTTGAAGGTGGAAACAGAGAAAACAAGATTAAGCAGTGTTTTCATTACAGACAATTCATTAGCCATAGCCAATGTAATAAAATTATTGAAACAACAAATTGTACAATGCATAATTTTTCAATACAGTTAGCATAGGTAGGGTAGCATTAGCTCATCATACACGGTGTTACGTTATTCTTTAAAAGATTTAAACCTCTAGATCTTGCTCTCCCAGGAACAGTGCTGCCTCTGGCTGACATCTTTGGATCTCAGAAAGGTGATTCTCTGAAAAATCTGATTCACCAATGTCTCCTTGCTGTAATGTTAAAACACTCTTATTTCAGGATTTATAGAATAAAGGTTGAGAGCAATATACGATTAGTTCCCCACTGAGGAGTTTTTAACTACATTCTGGCATCGGATCCAAAATTTATGAGGGTAACCCATATTAGAGCAATGCAATAAAATGTTACATTTATTTCCTTTATTTTGCTGAACAACAACTAAGTTGTAAACCAAACAACAAAAACTTGTGACTATTTTTTACCATCAAATATTCAGTTTCTAAAACAAAGTTACCTGTGGTGTGCACTGTGCCGCAAAGTCCCTCAGCGCATACAGCTCATTCTGTACGCTGAAAGACAATCAATGAACACTTGTTGAAGCAATTAAGCAATGCAAAATAATACTAAACACCCTCAGCTGTAAATGTAAATTTACATTAGTGGGTCATTATACTGCTAACTACTAATCCTTTAGTTAAAATTAAAAAAATATATTTTACAAAAAAGTAAACTTACTCTCTCCCGGCAACTGCCCCTGAAATTCATAAGTAAAGACAATAACAGTGAGCTGCATCATTATCAATAACAGCTCTTATAAATGAGTGTCAAAACCAATGGAACTCACAGTATGCATGGATCTGTAAAACCAGCCACACACCAGACATAATGCTTTCAAACGGCAGCACTATTACACGCAGATCATCCACTGTTCTCTCCCCCTTGTCTTGCAAACAGAAGATGGAAGAGAAGAATTTAGTGACCTCTCCAACGGAACCATATTCTGAAATATATTGTGGAAATATAAAAATTGTTTAGGTGTTGACACTTACATACTTGCAATATTAATTCTGTGGCAAGAGAAACAGAGTTGACCACTGGTAGACCTGCCACTCCATACATGAACAAAGTAGTGTAAATTACATCTGCAAAAGAGAAAAAGAATGGGTTTTTAAGATATGGTAGGATAACTGTAGCATAAGGACGAACATTTAAACCCTAATGATTAAATTAAAATGATCATAAATACTGTTGGCACAAAGTAAACAAAAAATCTGAATGTTTCCTTGACTTTCTTTCCTGATTTTCTGACTTTCAGTGTATTTTATTACCGGGAACTTTTCTGGGGAATCGTGTGGGTGAAATTGCAGTCAAGACATGGAGCATAACTGTGACAAAGATCCATCCGAAGCGCTCTGTGATGAATGACACATTATTATAGTCAGGTTACTATTGCTGGAAACTTAATGCTATACCATAAAAACTAACAAAACTGATGGTATATATCAGTAGCATACAAACCACAAAAAAAAAAAAAAAAACACTAAGGTAGCAATCCAAGCAATTTATGCTTTGAGATTGTATAGTGAAACAGAGTTTGCTCACATTTGATACCAGCTTACCGTTAGTATACTCCAGAATCTTGTTGAGATAAAATAAAATAAATGCACTATGCCCGATGAGCGTAAAAACCATAACGTTTACCCAAACTAAATCTGGGACAGAGAGAGAGAAAAAGACAGATCATCATTAACACATATATATAACGAAAAAAAAACACAGTAAACAAAGTTTCCCAATCAACTTTACGTTTGGAGTATTTGTGAACTGGTCTGTAAGCTAATTCTCTTTTTGCCCTAAAAGCAGTTTTTCCTGACCTCTCTAGAAAAAAATGTTTAAGTATTCAATTTAAATGGCTTCACCAGCACATAACAATGATTTCCAACGTACAATGAAACTCAATATACTTACAACATCTCCATATAAGCGCATAAAGTTGATATTTGCCCAGTTTTGAACAAAAGTACTGGCGAATTGCTGGAATTGGAAGAACTATTAATGATATGGCTGCAGAAATTCCCCCAAAGGCATATGTAATTTTAATCATGGCTGAAAAAGTAAACAGGCACACATTTTAATGACTATGAGTAAATAAATATGTCACAAGTGACAGATCCTGGATAACTTATAAATACAATTCCTACTTACATTCATCAACACTTGATGATCTATAGAAGAGAAGACGCATTTGAAAAAAGTTGCTTGACTGCATGAGAACGTGTCCTAAATTCTCTGCATGACAACAATCACAGAGCAATGCTGATGTAAACACATATGACCATTACACATCAGAACATGCAGCCTAGTGGTTAAAGATCTGAAAGGTTGTAGGTTCAAACCCTGCATGAGATGATCTCAATGTTTCTGGCAACTGTCGTATATACAGGTCACACAAGGGACTGAGTGTGCAACATCTGAATTACTTGCCCAAAGTAATAAATAAAGCATAAAATTGCAGTAAAAGACAATTTGATATACCTATAATAAATTGCACTGACAAATGTATATCAAAAAATCGTGTGAAGCAAACGTTGTTTAAGGCTCGAAAAATTGCAGGCATGGATGACAGCAGAATAATCCCAACACTGACAAGAACAACTTCAGTCCACTGAGATGTATTCCAGAGATCATGAAGAACAGCTACAAAACACAACAGATTATACAGTTATTCAGTTATACAAAGTAATAAGTACATATATTCATAGCTCAGGCCCAGATGGATATGATTTAAGGGGACAGTCTGCAGAAGTATTATTAAAAGTATAATATATTAAATATACAAACTACTGTAAGACTCTTAAGGCCAAGCTTCCTTACCTGAGCAAAATGCTGTGGAAATCAGAAGATATGCAATGGGAATCGCTACAAATTCAATTATTCTGTGGATGAAACCTGGAAAATTAACTGAAACAAAAAGGAACAAGACAATGATTAGAAATCAAAGTCCGTAATCATTCATGGTAAAACTTTTCCAACGTGAATTGTAAATGTATATTTCTTTAAAATTAAAACAATATTCAAGTTGCAAGCAATGTTTCAGAGATTCTATATTTATAGGTTTATCACAATGTCCTAAAGCGCTTGATAATATATAATTACAGTACAGTACAATGAGATATGAAATATATTATGGCATATACAATACAATGTACATTCCTACAAATGTCTTTCATTGAGATATACATACCAGAAACAGTAGTATTCCAATTGAAATATGGGGCCATAAGAAATAACAAAATGACCCGACTCAGATTGATTGTCATACACATCGTTACCTCAACTACAGACCCTGAACAAAGCAGTAAAAAAACAACAAAACAAAGTCATCAACAGAGAGAAAAAAATGGGTAAATATAACCTAACAATACATGCAGAAGGATACTTACCTTCAATAACTCCCCACAGAACAAATGCAATAGACAAACAGATGTTGGGACAGACAACCTGCAAATAATTTATGTACATTGGTTTTGGGCCAGTATCTGCAGAGGAACATAAACACCATGTACAATCATTTAGTTTATAGTTATTCAGCAAATAGATATCTACACATCAACCCTAATTCAGTGAAAGAATAACAGAACAACCATTTAAAGGCACAATATGTAATTTTTTGCCACTAGAGGGCGAGTATTCAAAACAAACAAAGAAACAAAGGCATAGTTTGATGACCCCGTGACTGAATGTGGAATCATGGGAGTTGTCGTCTTCATCCCCACAGCCGACGCAATCTAACGGGACTCGGTCAGAAATCATGTTCATGGATGAGCTAATGTATTAAAGATTTATTAATGTCGTAGTATGAAGCAGAGCGAGGCGGAAAGCCGTCCAAGCAAAACGAGCTCGAAAGCAGCGGAGCTTTTATTATGCCACAGTCGACTGCTTCCGCTCCTTCCGGAAAGCAGCAGAAGTAAGCAGCGCTGTTTTATCATACTAGATACATTTGAAAGTTCTGTTATAATGCTACTCTGTGCGGTCATCACCTGTCTAATAAAATGCACAACATATTAAAGCGTCTTTGGTGTTTCCATGTTTTCTACAAAACAAAACCAGAAATCGAGGGGTTATGACGTCATTGGCAGGCGACACAATGACACTATGGACACGGTCCGAGTCACTAGTTAAAATTGCTTATTTCTCTGGATTTAAACATTCTTCGAAACATTTGGGATAATGTAAGTACACAAGTCAGCAAAATATATAACTCTGTTCTAGTGGTTTTTGGATATTTTAATAAAAAAATCTTACATATTGTGCCTTTAACATCTTATTAATTTACAATTGTTATACAATAAAAAAAACTATTAAAAGCATACTTAATTCTTGGCCTACCTTTTTTGCTTATATAGATTGTGACTGGAATACTTAATACAAAAGTCAACAAGAGGGAAATAAAGCAAAGCATCAGTGTAATGATGTGCAGAGCAGACATCCCTACATGAAAGACACAGAATGATTTTACTGACATTGGATTAAGTTAATCCACATTTCCTCTTATTTTAGGTGAAGTTTTAGTAATTTTGTTGTGCTTTCGTCATTTCTAAGAGATTTTCCTATTTTAGTGTTTCTATAGCTTTATTTTGAATTTGATTTTAGTGAATTTATTTAATGCACGAGTTTCACAATTTGAGTTGAATTACTGAAATAAATGAACTTTTCCACGACATTCTAATTTATTGAGATGCACCTGTATATATTTACTTATTTCAGTCAGTTGTACTTATTTCAGTCAATTTCTAATCTGTATTTCAATTAGCAAAAACTATTTTATTAGTTTAAATAAACAATAGCAACACTGTTGTGCTGCTTAAAATTTTTGAGGAAACAAAATTATTTGAAATAGAATCATTTAAATGTATTTACCGTCACTTTTAAACATTTAAAGTATTCAATTAAATTTTTTAAAAACAACATTTTACCGACCAAAGCTTTTAAACAGTAGTGTCTGCTTCAGATGACTTACCCAACCGCCCAATTTCCACAGTTGCAGAGCTCACTGAATTGTCTGTGTGGACTTCACACATGTATTCTCCCTTGTCGGCAGTCTGGACATTTTTTAGTCTCAATGAGAAGTTACCTTTGGGAATTTCTTGTCTGAAGAACTCTGCTCTGCCTCTGTAACGCTTGTGAGACGATTCTGGAAATATCGATCCATTTTGGAAAAGCAACACAAGGACAATGTCTGGCTTTTTGTCCACCTTCTTCCATGAGACCTCGTCAATGCGCTGAGGAGGAATATGCGAGTCCACCATGCAGTTTAGAACAACATCCTCACCAACACGTGCAAATACAATTTGATCTTCTGCTGTCACAATTACACGTTCTGTTATAAACAAAAGAGAAATAATCATTGTATAATAAATAATCAAATAATCATTAGTTTTGTCATTATTTTTAAATGAGATATACTTACCTGCATGCTGAATTGTAACAGAGATCTCTCCAACATTCTGGTAAGAGAAAACTACACATCTGTAGATACCAGTGTCTGCAACTGTTATATTTTCCAACAGGATTGAGAAGTTTCCTTTAAAGATCTGCTCAGAAAAAAAATGTGCTCTGTCCCTGTAAGACTGATGCTGAGCCTCAGGTCTGTCCTCTCCATTCTGAAACAAGTGCACTAATGCCTCTTCATCTGTCCTCTTCCATTCAACCTCCAGCTCCTCCATGGGTAACGGGGTTTCCACAGAGCAGGGCAGTATGATGGAACCCCCCAGTTGTGCAACCAGAGGCTGAGCAGGTCCTTGAACCAATACCCCTAAAAAAAAAGAAAAAAAAAAGAAGAAACCACAGTAAGTCAAAAACACATAATGTAAACAAGTATGAAACAAAGTATTTGATCCTCACCTTCAGACGTAAGAAGAGCTGCTGCATATATCAAGACTCCAAACATGCTCATGTTTCAGGTGCACGTATCTACAGAAAATCTCTGAATTGAGGAGATAAATAAACAGCTCTAGAATAAACTGACTACATCATACAATGACAAAGAACAGCTGGGTGGGAATGTAAGTTCTTTCGACTTTCATTTTGAGTGTAGTTGTGCAACATGGCCTTTGACCGAGGATGCACTTTATTGACCTCATACAGCTATAACTCAGCAGCTGCTTTTTAATCTCTGTTGTTTTGTCTCAGCCTCCCCTGGAAAACCCCTACAAGGCTAAGGATTACCTATTATATATGAATGTTTCACATTTTCCCTGAAAGTTACTGTCAGTTATCAATGGTAGCCATTTCTAAAGACTCCTGGTGCTGTTCATTTACGTCAAGCATAAACTCCATGAAGCCTTGTTTAACAGCTGGCCAAAAGCTATGATTTATAATTTAAAATACTATAGTATTTTTCTTACACACACCCTATCTTTTCACTTCATAAGACATTGATTCATCCACTCGGGTTGTATGGATTACCGTTGTGATTGCTTTGTGGGTTTTTGAAGACTAAACTTTTGGATGACTGTCCACTTGCATTATATGGACTCAGAGATGGATTATTTTTCTAATAATCTTTGTTAGTGTTCATCTGAAGAAAGAAAGTCATATACATCTGGGACGGCATATGGATGAATTTTCTTTTTCTTTTTTGGGTGGAGTATCTCTTTAAGCAGGTTTTCCTCTGGAACAGTGATTCTCAACCAGGGGGCCTCAACAAAGCTCCAATGAGGCAGAATTGTTTTCACTGAAGCACCTGCTCAATCCTGTGGAGCGGAACACACACACACACACACACACACACAGCCATGCTCTGTTTAGGTCATGTTTCAGCAATACCACATTTTATCATTATTTTTTCCACACTAAACATACGATAAAAATTTGTGATGTCAAATCGATTAATCGCGATTAATAGCATCCAAAATAACAATTTGTCTACTGTGATAGATGATCCGTGATCCGTACGGACCAGGCCCCACGGTTCGGCACGCATGCGATTCGTGGATTAACTGTTAAATTTAACATTTATCATAGAGTTAAAGTTATCGTTTGCATGTGTTTGTCTTGCCAATTTACCCATTCAAACAAAAGAGAACACGCGCGCTGTTTTCTACGGCTGGCGCACACATCCGAAGCAAGCACACGCAGAGAGAAAAGGGCGATTGCTTCCTCTTTCACTCTCTTTGAACGGAAACATACACAGTACACACAAAGTTATATTAAAATACCCGTTTTGGCAAATAGGCCTATTCTGGTAAACAGTCGGTTATGTCTTAAGTGAACCGAAACAGCTGAGAAAGAAAGCACATGTGTGTCAGTATTAGGTACGTGCATTTGGTCTTAAAGAGACAGTAACCTATAAATACCTGTTTCTGTCTGCTATATTTAACTTATGCAGTGAAGAGCACTATTGTGTTAGTTTACAATTATTACATTTCTGCACCTGTGTTACTGACTTTATTAGTAACTTTATGTTGTATTCATCCATGCATGTAATTTTTGTTCTTGCTTTATTACTGACTTTATTAGTTCAGCTAGTAGTTTTTGCTGCGGTATAGAAGCACTTAAAGTAAGCTTTCAGTAATAAATGAAAAGCAAACTTTTTGTTTTTGCTGATCCGAAAAAGTATCCGATCCGTGACTCAAAATCCGTAATATGGTTCGAACCGTGAGTTTTGTGATCCGTTGCACCACTAGTATATGTATGTATATATAAATACACACACATACATGTATAGGTGGAGCAGGTACAGGTACAGGTGGAGCTGGGGAAGGTGGAGGGTTTCAGAGGAACTCTGAAAGCTCGCTGCAATGCTCAAGCAAATGCTAACCAGCCATTTAAATGTATTTCATATATATTTACTCGCATGCCCGAGAGGCATTTCAAAGATGGCCACCGAGTGAAATGACTTGCCTTAAAGGGTTAGTTCACCCAAAAATGACAATTAGCCCATAAATTACTCACCCTCAAGTCATCCTAGGTGTACATGACTTTCTTCTTTCAGACGAATCCAGTCGGAGTTACATAAAAAAATGGTCTTTGATCTTTCAAGCTGTTTAATGCCAGTCCAAAGGAAGTTAAATAAAAAACGCCCATCCATAAAAAAAAATGCTTTTGTTTTCTTTTGAAAAATACCTTTTTTTGTTGTTACAAAAACTAATTTAAAAATAACACTGAATGGTAAAGAAATTATCCGTTATTACGGCATGAAGACTATAACCACTGACAGTTTTGTAAACTTCATAATTGTTAATGGAAAATTCATGAATGCCGAAAATTCATCTTTTAATAAATCACATAAGGCTGTGAAAAATGTAAAAGGTACATCTATTGTAAAATACTATTAATCTGTATTTAACATCATGTGAATGGCTTTTATTATTTTAGTTTTATCTTGAGAATATTTATGAGAACATTTGAATTAGTGGTCGACCGATATATCGGCCGATATTTGGCATTTTTCAAATATCGGCATCGGCCGATACGTTTTTCTGTTTGGCCGATGCGTTCGTGGTGGGACTTTTATTTTGACGGCGCTGAGAACGGCACACAGTGCTCACATTCTCCCTCTTGTACGCTGTCGTCGTTAACAGTCCTGTCAACGGACAGAAGTCTGTCTAATAATCAGATAGAACTGTTAAACAAAGGAATTAAAATGTATACAAAAGAGTATTATAACGATTGTTTTTATATTGTTAGTAATAGAAAGGCAAACATAATACTTTCTCGTTTGCCGTCAGCATTCAGCAAATACGCATTTATATCATTTAAACAAATCTTTAAATGACTAATGAACATCTAATTTAAAAAACCTTGCAAACTTAGTCGAATCCAGCTGTGAGATCTTATGAAGTGTGCATTTGTATCCTGCACGATCCCGTGTTCTCTGCGTGACGGTCGGTCAGTGTGAACTGAATACGGACAGGAGGTGAGCTCAGCTTCACCGAGATGCGCGATCGACAAACTTTAAACGCGTGATTTCAAATTATGCTGCGCTTCATGCTTTTGCCCACTGTCATATTCATGTTATTTTCACTGTGTGCTGTATGTAAAATGAGTTACTTTGGCTTTATTTGAAAAAATGTGATTCCCAATGCACACAAACTTCCCAGGATACTGAGTGCCCTGTTGGTTAGTGTTTACTTTTTAATTATATTTTTATTAAATATTTTTTTATTTGTGAAAAATACGTTGTCATTTAAAGTATAAGCATGTTTATTTTACACCTTTTTTAAATCCATTTTCAAATGATTTCAAATTTATTAAATATTAAAATAAATAAAATTATATCGGCCATCATGCTTTCCAAGATATCGGCATCGGCTGTCAAAACCAATATCGGTCGACCACTAATTTGAATTGTTTGTGATTGCACTGGAATGAAAAACAAGAATATTAATTAACATGTTAAATAAACATAAAATAATAATAAAAAACCTCAAAAGATTTTCCCCATTTTTCAGGGCACCTTTTATTGTAATAGTCTTTTTGCATTGCTTTACAGGTATATCAATTACAACAAAAATTGACTTTTTCCCATATCAAAATGGTATGATATGGTCTACTGCAGATCATCTCTACAGCAGAAGTGGCACAGGACATCAGGAGTATTGACAGATTAAATTCTGTTTAACTGGTGACATTTCAGCTTTTGCAGAAGCAGGTTAAAACCTGCAGATAATTCCAAATAAAACTTCTCAATGTAACAATACTTGTGGTTTAAAATCCCTCAGATAGTGGCAGAAGGCAAATATTTTTTCCAATAGCTTAAAAAAAAAAAAAAAACATCTGCAGTGACCATTCACGAAATAAACTTTTGACAGCCTTAAATATAAACCTTCAAGTAACGGTCTTGAAAAACTAAAAACAATAACTGACTTAGTAAAAAGGAATGTATTATTCTGTGGGACAAAAAAAAAAAAAAAAGTTTATTAAAATGCAGCCATCATACCTGTTGTCCAAAATCAAAACTCTCTTCAACTTGTGTACAGACTGATATTAAGACTATTTTTAAACAGAAATTAGAAAATACTCAGAAGAATGACCAAACAAACACCAAAGCCCCAAGCTGCTGTTTTATGCATGTGAAATTGTTACTGTATCCAACTAATTACAGTGATTGAGATGGTAAAATCCCCGTCTGTGTGCTGGGAATCAGGGGTGTGATTTGGCTTTATTTCGGTCAATGCCCTTGTTTTCTGGTATATGCTTGTAACTGCAGCGATCATTCTTAATGCAGCCATTTGTCCTCCAAAAATAACATTCATCAGGCCGTTTGCTAAAGAAAAAAAGCAAGGACAAAAAATTATCAATTACCATTAAAACAAACTATTAAGCTACACAATAAAATTGTTATAATATTACTCCACATCTATTTTACTTAAGTAATAGTTCACCCAAAATTGTACTCATCCTCAGCTCGTCCAAGATGTAGATGAGTTTGTCTGAACAGATTTGAAGAAATGTAGCATTGTCACCAATGGAGTGAATGGGTGCCGTCAGAATGAGAGTCAAAACAGCTGATTAAAAGCATCACAATCCACAGTGGCATAAAGTCTCTAGTTTCTACTAAAGACTCTACTTTATGTGAATGTGAGTACATTAGCAGTATATAGAGCATTTCCACTGGAGTCATTTGGATTACTTGTGGATTATTGTGATGTTTTTATCAGCTATTTGGACTATCATTCTGACGGCACCCATTCACTGAAGAGGATCCACTGGTGAGAAAACTGATGTAATGCTAAATTTCTTCAAATCTGCTCCCATGAAGAAACAAACACATCTACATCTTGGATGGCCTGAGGGCGAGAACATTTTCAGAAAATGTTCATTTTTGGGTGAACTATTCTATTAAGTTAAAGTAGTTCATTCTGATCATATAGCTCAAATCAAATGTTGGATTTCTAACCTAAACACAGTGATATGTGCTCATGTGCAACATATAAACAACAGAATGCAGAAACCGTGTGTTCACTCACCCATTCTTCCCCGAGAACTCTGTAGATGCATCTCTGGACACTCCAAGACGTGTGTGAATCCTATCTGGATAACGCACCACTAGAGTTGTCCCATCAATGGCATAACCCTGCAAATCACAAAAACAAGCATACAGACTGTTGTTTTTCCCCTCATCGGAGATCTTCATTTAACCAGAAACATGGGTCAAAACCCCAACCACTCATATCACTAGAGAAGGGTTAGACATATTATAAGCAGCTATATAGACATCCGCATATATCTTACATTCCACTGAACAAAGCAACAGAGCAAACATACTCACATGGAAATCCTTTATGGCTTTCTCACAGTCCTCCTTCGTGGTGTAGTTCACAAATGCACAGTGTCTCATTTGTAACACTCTTACACCATGGACATGCCCAACACTGTTTGATAAAGATAAATGAATATAACTTAAAATGTGCTCCATCACATCAATGCTGAATAAAGCATTTTACTGGCTAAAAGATGTTTGCAAAACAAATAAGGTCACTTACGATCTGAATAAGTCATAAAGCTTTGGCCCTGTTATAGAAGGCACCAGATCTCCGACCCAGACGGGAAATAGCTCTCTGCTT